TTGTCGCTTTGGTGTATCTTTTATCTTACCGTGATCTGGTAACGTTCCAACAATATTTATTTTATTTATTTATTAGTTTTCTTTTTGCGCACTCCTAATTTGCGACTGCAAAATTTAAAATCGGCCTAACGTATTTTGGCTTGAAATCTTATATAATTAGATTAGATACTATTTCTTATTATTTTATTCTCCAACCAATTATCTATAAATATTGTAATGGATGACAGTAGAGTGCAATCTAAAATCATGTTTATATAATTTTTGAAAGAGGAAGGCTATTTACATGAGAGTTGTTTTTTTAATGTACAGAAGCGAAGAACGCATAAATAGAAGTTTCGTCTCGAGTTTCGTGTTAAACAAAAAAAAACTTCCTTCTCAAATTTGGTACTAAAGTTCAAACGCAGTTATTCAATGGTATTGTATGTAGCTGTGGTGACAGGCATTTGGACGCGAACATTAGAACGCAGACATTGGGACTACAGTTTTGGTCCAATTGTTTTCAGGTTGGTGTCGTGGGAAGGATCTTACAAACGCACACGACTGCTGTGTGACCTTTTACAAGGCGCGCGTCTTCGTGGAGTAGTCGACTTCAGGCCCCCAAAAAGGTATCTTCGGCTGCGAATTTTGTCACGCTGTTTAAAGCTTCTTAAAGCTCGAATCGTGGTCTCCCCAAAAAGTGAGTACTATTTTATAGAGAGATTTTAGCGAAATCCACCAAAATGCGAATTAGGGGTGAACGGGTCGTCGGAATGAGTACCGACAGAATGAATGAAGATTTTGCAGATGGTGGAGTCAAAACTGCCTAATAGTCAATAGAATATTGATCTGCCACACAAAAACGCCCTAAAGTCCCTTGGATCTCATACGAGGACTTCGATAATTTTTTGTGGTAAACGGCGCTACTGGTAGTTCGTTTTTAGCATTTTGGCTGGTAACTTCACACGGGTGATTCAGCATTATATTTTCCCTGGCCTGGTTCTAATTTTGTACCAATATGCCATATGTCTCAAGGACAGATTGTCGGAGGAAGGTACCCACAAAGGGCGATTGAGACATCTGGAAGAAATATATCCATGGGTGATGACAAAAATTCTAAGGTGACATAAACCCTTTTTGTACATAACCCGTTTACAGAACGGACATAACAAACCGAATAAACCAATTCAAGAGATCTCAAGAAATAAAAATTGAGTACTCACAGTCTGTCCAAGCACTACCTAAATTCTACTGGTTTGTCCCAAGAAACGCAATTACTGTCTTTTAACTCAACTTGAGATCACAAGCGTATAAAATTTCACGTGAGATGAGTTACGCCCGCTTTCAAATATCACTCGAACAGCCGAATCCTTAACTTCTTCCACTTATTTAAGCAATCCATACCTCCACTCCATTAATCGTCATCGTTGCTAAACGAAAAACGAACAGTTACTACATCGCCAAATTAATTCCCATATGCGTAGAGCTTATCATACAAGTGTTATTTTATCAAATCCGGCTAATTAATTTGTCCGATAACGGATTTTACTCACACATTTGTCCAAATAAAACTTCTTTCTTTCGTCGATTTCAAATTAAATGCTTTATTTATGAGGTCGCTGAATTTCAGACACTCGTTAAATACAATAACAACCCTTTATTACTTACACATACTCACAATTTACAATACAAAAAACTAAACACTTAAATTTTTAACTTCAGGGTGGCTCGCTCTCATTTTCGGCATTATTTTAACGTCGAGAAATGAAACCCCCCTGCAGTTTACACAACATTATGAATATGTTGTCGTTTTGTATGTTAGAATTTCACGTGTCAAAATTGGTTGTCCTGTCCAATTTCATAACGAGGTTTGACGGTACCTTAACACAAAAGATGTGAAATTTGGGCAAAGGAGTTTCATTGAAGTTTTTGTATATTTCGAGCAGCCATCGTTTCATCGTTCGTGTTTTGGCCAGTCAATCTAATTTAATGCAGTACAATGACGTTCTTTGTGTCCCGAAGAAGAGAGAAATTAAAGAAAGAGAGTGTAGTGAGCAAAGGTTGTGAGTGCGTTTGTTCCCTCTCGCAAAAGTTGTATTTTCCGGGATTTTTGGGATTTTTAACAGAAAACTGTAAATAGCTTAAGCTTTCATTAATTTGTTTGTTTTCGAACGCTGACGCGTAAAATGGACTTTATTATGGTCCACTTTGAAGAATGTTGTTATTAATTTGATTTGTTTGTTAAAATAAACTGTTTTAATGTAAATAATATAAATGTAAATCGTGTGTTTATTCGAACCCTTTAACGAACCAGATAGATGTCATGCTTAATTATGATCAATTTGTTGATCGGTACCCAAAGTTTATTTCAGGTGTTTCCAAAATTTGTTGAAGTACTTAATTCTTTTTGGAATTCAAGGAATTTGATTGTCGTCGTTATTTGCCATAATATTTGGAATTTGAAGCCGAGATTGGAATTTGTCAATATGCCGGGAATCAGATGTGTGCTGAGAAAATTTGAATAAGTGAGCTTGCTAGGTTTTGTTTTGTGTATGGTTCATTTTGGCCGAGCCATTGTACACAGCAATACGTAATACGCTGGTGAACACAAACGCGTAGTGCTTGTTTACAATGAACGTATACGTAAGAAATACATGCATTTTAAAAATTTCGCAAAGTTGAACTGTATAGAAACATACGAAGGTGTTTACAATAAACGTAATTTTTACGTACATATACGTAAGCGATATGTAAGTCTTTCGCATAGTCGCAAAACTTGAAAATGGTTCAAAGTTACGTACGGTCAAAGAATATACTACTATGTAGTATGATATTTGGTTTATTGTAAATAGCGAAGTAAATTTACGGAAACGATACGAATATGTACGAATTACGGTTTATGAAATATTTACGTATACGTTCATTGTAAACAAACACTTAAGGCGTTTTCGGAAATTCAACCGGGTTAGGTAGGTTCTTAGCGAGTTGTAACCCAAGCGTTCGATTATTCACACCGGTTATTTTGTCTGCGTTCGAAAACTAGATCAGGTTGGCAACTCGGTTGTTTAGTAATAACTCTGGTCAGTGAGTAGGGTACGTCTGTATTGTAGGTTATGTTTTGATTGAAGTGTTTACCTTTTTGTTTGACAAAATCGTCAATAGAAGACTTTTAGTTTTATTATTTGCTACAATCAAAAATGAATAGGGTGCTCGCACGATGTGAAATCTGCGACTTTATATCATATGAAAATATTGTTAATGAACATATTCGAACAACTCATGCCCCGGATTTGGAATCCCGTGAAAGTACAGAGGTTGAAAATTGGCAGCAAGAGGATATAACCCTCAACAATGAAGATTATTATGAGGATCATGATTATGGCGTATCTCAGGAGCAGGAAACACCAATAGTGACTCAACGTAGCCAAGCAAGTGCATCCGAGCCTCAAAATCATCATTGGCAAGATAATGAAATAAAGCTATTGATATCACTGTATGAGGAACATAAAACAAGATTTGAAGACAAGTCTACAACAAACAGGAAAGTTTTGCAACAAATTGCCGAACTGATGAATGCAAATGGTTACATGGTCACATGGGAGCAGTGCGAAAATAAATTCAAAAATTTAAAAAAACAGTACAAAAAGGTGATTGACCACAATGCTGCCACAGGTAGAAATAGATTACAATTTAAATATTTTGACATTATGGATAATTTACTGCATCAAAATCCTGAGATAAATCCACCAGCAGAATGCAGCAGCCTGAATGTGGTAGGTTTTAATGTTTTATACTTTTCATTTAAATTTGTTCCTCGAGTTTAGCATTTCCATCAATATTTTGAATCTTTCATGTACTTTTGTTATAGGAACCAGAATGTCCAAATAGTCCCATCAATGATAGTGGGAGGAGCACCCCATCATGCAGTACACAGCTTCGACCAAATAATAAACGTAAGAACAAGGAAAATGAGCCAGTTTGGTTTAAAAAATTTCGCGAAGATATGGATAAACGCCACCAAGAGAAAATGAAAATGCAAGAACGCTTGATTAATGTAATCGAAAAGCATTTAAATACATAATTAAAGCAACATGTACATTGTAAAATAAATACTAATCTTACAAAATTTTGTTAATTTATAATTTCTGCGATATCATCACGTTTAATGCGTCCTTTAGTGTCTAAGTTTCTATCATTAATACCTACAGCAACATTAGCATCTGCATCTTCTTGATACGGCTCTACATCTAAATCATTTGCATCAACACAAATATTATGTAAAACACAACAACTTATAATAACGCTGGGAATTACTTTGGTGCGTCATATATATTTATTTCATACTATCTAGTAATCGCCGCTTTCCCAGATTGATTTGAGTCTGGTAAATCGTATTTTACCAGACTGAAAATTTTTACCAGACTGGAAATTTTGCCTAGCAACCGCACCTGACATCCATCTAAACGTATGCATTGATATTTGTCAAACTACTGTCAGATCAAACAAATCAAGTGATCGACTTTTGCTTTTATTTTAATGTGTACCTACAACATTCTAATCAAAATGGTATTTTAATAGAAATAGAGCAGTATGAAATAAAATGTTTTACATTATTTGTATGTTAAATCAGTTAACGTTACTCGTTTCGAAATTCCTGCCTCAGCTACGCTTCGGCAGTAAACATCTCACTCGTTAACGTAAACCTTGATTTACCATACTCATATGTAAATAACTATTACGTATCTCAAAATGCGGAATCTACCTTTTAACAGCCCATATGCTTGCTCAATAGCTACTCTTGTAGCAGAGTGCTTGTAATTATAATGTTTCTGTTTTCGACTCAAATGTCCATTGTCTTTGTAAGGCGTAAGTAGGTGACTTGCATTTGAATACGCTGAATCACCTAAGTGATAATCTGAGGGCACGAGATCATGAATATTGTGGTTCAATTTTTTTCCTAAGGGAGACATTTTTAATACCCTGGCATCATGGACACTTCCAGGGGGACCTAATGAGTTCATAAATGATAGTATCCTTTTTAATTAATAACTTTACCGGCATAACAATCGATAAATTTATATCTAGCATTACAAACTCCTTGTAAGACAATTGAATAATATTTGTTTCTGTTGATGTAAGAGTTTGCCATATTGTGTGGGGCCACTATTGGTATGTGCGTTCCATCAATCGCACCTATAACATTTGGAAATCCTTGTCTTTTACGAAATTCAGTGGAGAAGCACTGTCTCTGTGATTCATTTTTAGGCCACTGAATTACATCTGACGCAATTGAAACTAAAGTATCTACAACTTTTCTAAAGTAACACCATGCTGTTGAAATGGTCAGATCAAATCTATCGGCGACGGTTCTGTAAGACTGGAAATGTTAACCATTTTCAGATTAATTATACAATTCATTTTACCTGTACGACTCTTGATTTGCGAGAATCCATAGACCTACTAATAACTGTGTTTTCGCATCATTTCCAGGTCTCCCAGTGTGGTGTACGGAACTAGCCATTGACAACTTATCACCAATTTTAATTAGCACTTCCTCAAAGCTCATTTTCGTCAATCGGAAATGTTTACGGAAATCTACAATACCTATGACTTTTAACTGGTACCTACGCAATTTAATATTTTTAATTACCATCTAAACTGTAGCTTTCTACAATGGCAACATAATTCTTAATGCATACACGTTTACTTTCCCCATGTTCTCTCGTAGTTAAAAGTTGTTGACTAACAATCACATTGTCATCATCGTCGTCGGAATCTACTACAGATGTCCAAAACGCAAGGAGTGCTGCTGTAGCGCGTTTTCTACTTGTGCCAAGAATAGTAGAATGGATTATACTATCCTTGTTAGACATGTTTATGTAGGTTATGTCACGGTTAGGAATATTAGGTTATGTAAAAACGTTCGGAAAACATATAACTCGAGTTGCGAACCTGTGTAGGTTACCTACCAACTGGGTTATTTACTCGGGCATAATTTCCGAAAACGCCTTTAGTGTATATTTGGGCGTCCTTAGTGAACTCGTACTTTCATAATTACTTTGCTCTTATTATATTTATTTTTGAAGTTGTTTTACCCAGTGTTTCAAATGAAAATAATTTTAAAAACTTACCGTCTGTATTTACGGCGGAAACATACGTCCATCCATGGTATCGTACAATATCCAACATAACTTGCGCTTGATAGTAATCTGAAGGCACTACTCTTTGAAAGTAATTAAATCTACTTTTGTCCGATAAATCTCTGGAAGTAGTGGAGTATCCAACTTGTGGTATATGAAACAATTGGAGAAGATTTTGCACCTGAAGCGCAACCGAACTCGCTCCAGGTCCGACAACACCAACTAAAGGTCCTTTCAGTTCTGAATTTGAACTTAAATCATCCAAACTAGGGCACGAGACTAACCGATTTGGTGTAGGCGTAATAGAATCTCTAATTAGTTCTATACTTTGTTGTAATGCAACCGGAGCGTACCAACATTCGTCCCGAATTTCTACCCCTAAAGTCAAATTTGGCAATAGATGAGGGTCGTTGTTTATTTTGTCGATAGTTTGCAGGGTGGCTTCCACTCTCTGCACTCCATATTGTTCTCTAATTGTGCCGCAAATTATGCTGTGATGCGATTTCTTTTGCTTGGTGGGTGGCACATGATGTACAGGAAATAATAGTCCTATTATAAAATCTCCATTGGTAAAAATGTACTTCCCCTTATCTTCTTCTGACGAATCGATGATGTTAACCAGAAAAATTATCATGAGAGTGGAAATTTTTAAAACTGACATCGTCGTGCTTATGCTTTGTCCAATAAATGTCATCGATCGCCTTCATTTTTGTTTTACTTGGTATCTGTAAAAGAAAAAATGCGTTAATAGCCTCGCAATAAGTAGCGTATATTATGCAGTAGGATAATGCGATAATATAGGGATAAACAGTGTACAGCTTGTTGCTAATATAATTTTCCAAATTACATATACATTTCCAGCCGAATTTTTATATTGAACGGTAATAGCGAATATTCTAGAAATAATATACCTCGGCGGTAAAAAAAAATAATGCGAATATGAAAATCAGCGGAGTGTAACAAGTGCATTAAATTTTTGCGATTTCTTCCCGGTGAAATTATGCAAAAGAAAAATTTCTAAGTTGAAAAAGAGTCCAGATTTCAAGAACATTACACCAAACAAGTTCAAGTTTTTATTTTGTCGATTGTAATAGTAGCGAGCTCTCGTAATCCTCCTAAGTTTGTCAATTAATTATTTGTTGTGTTGTCGCATCGTTGTCTGGATTTGGTTTTAAATTACACGCTGGAAATAGGTGATGTTAAGTTACTTCTGCAAAGCACAGCTTGGTAAAAATAAGGTAGCTTCGCAGAATCCGATTCTCAGTAGCGAGCTCTGAAAGCTTGGTGAACCAATGAAAATTAATAAAATATGGCCGCCATAACTATTCCACCATTGAGTGGGCGGTAAAAAAAACTATTACCTAAGTATTCAGAGAGGGGATTATTTTTGCACGAAATAATCACTTATAAGGGTAGTCGCCGACCTGGTCAGTGTGAAGGTCCAGTTAGATTAGTGTTCGGATAACCGAACTGATAACAGTTTAGATAAATTCAGTTAGCCAGTTTTTTGAAAAATCGACATTAGTTGTCCAAGTGGGAAAATAGTACGGAGTGAAAAAAGCGACTCACATGAACGTGAAAAAGAAGCGAATTGTAGTTAAGTTCAATACTCAGCGAGTGTATAAGTTGTAATCGCCAGTTAGCCAAAGAGTGCCGCAGTTCACAAAAAATTAGTTGTTACAAAAAATTACCCCAAGACATTTGCGTATTCCATTGGGGTAGTTCGAAAATCTCGTAGGTAACAGTAAAGGACACAGTCCGTTATTATAAACAAACGCGTACGTAAACGAATTCCTTGGAAACTGTTACCTCGTAGTTGTACAGTGATGCTAAGTAAAAAGGGAGGTTAAATTAATTCATGCGACACAAGGGAATTAAAACAAAGAAAACTGTTCGTAAAAATTAAATAATAACAAGAGTCCATTATTAGTGCCGCTAACGCAAAAGGGCAGTCTGGTGTAAAAACTAACCTTAAAAATTTCCTCAAAGTTAAATAAAGCCGTTAAAAAATTCAGTTCATCTGAGTGTGTATGGAAAACGCACTTTTCTGACCAACTTTCACTGACCAGCAAACGAATTAACATCGAGAGCAAACCTGATTGTCCAATCAATCTTTAAAGTCCAACCTAAACGGCAGTCGTCTAAAGATTTTTCCAAGACGGCGGATTTGCAGCCCTTCAAAAATCATCTGATATCAACCCCAATTGACGAGAAAAAAGGTTAGAAGAAATCCAATCTTCCACAAAAAATTGTAAATAAAGGTTAGTCGTTTTTATGTAATTTGTCAAATTTACTCGACAACTTTAAGATCCATTGTATTATCAGTAGTAAAATTTGAAACGAGAGTTCTTAAAGATGTCGAAAAAGTATATTTTTAATGTGTGTTGCAATCAACAAAATTTGGTGTCAGTTCTAATTAAATTTGCTTTTTCGGAATCAAAGGTGTTCTATAAATTTCAGTGTGAATGAAACCAACTTGAAGAGTTATTTATAAATGTAAATTAGCCGCAATTCAATTTCAAACTATTAAGTTATGTAAAGGTAAGAAGAGAGATGGCAATTTCAATGTAAATTTTAATTATCCCAAATTGTGACAGGTGCATTCTTAAACAACTCTTAATATTTACTGATTTTCATTACCTAATAGACAATAATTTGGCATTGTGGTATTATTATTTTGCTGGACAGTAAAAAAGAGAAACCCATTTGTAGCAAATTTTCAGATAAAAGAAAAGGAGATCTCTCACGTCAGTAAGGAGAGTTGAGGAAGGTAAAGTATAGTAGCAGCGAATCATAAGAGCCAGTCAATGGCATTTTAGTAAAATTTGATTGATGCAGTTTTCTTCATGGGATTTTCCGTTGTATAATAAATCAAAGGAAGTTCCCACCCTTATTTGCAGAAAAAACCGCTGCATGAGGTTTTAAGTCAGATTTTATACAGAACCGCACTCAATGCATTCTTCTGATTGATTAAAAAATAATTTCTTAATTTAATAATAATAATAACAATAATTTGTTATGTATTATGAATTATGATGCTAAATATTAAAGGGGCGATACTCATGAAAACTCTGTCTCTTCCATTGGAAAGGGCTTTGGGTGCCACCGTCATACAAAAGAACTAGAACTCACATTACGCTCTACATAAGTAAAAGTCGAAATGAAACCTTTCATTTATCATCCCTTGAGTTGCAAACAAAAATGTTTGCCATATCATACAGCGGCGGTATATAATTATTCAAATAATTAAAGACATAGGTTCCCAAACGATTCCTGTTTCTGTTTTCCTTTGAATGATAAACGACATCTTTAAGGCTCAGTACTCTTCGTTTATATTTTAAAAACTGCGCCTTTAATGCAGAATTTACTTACAATTCACGTTTCACGACGAAATTTATACAATAATTACATTACCTTAAAGCGCTTGCAATATCCTATATAATTCAGGCATGATGAGTTTTTACGGTTATTGAACCTTGTAATGAAGGTAATTTAAAACATTTCTTAAAAGTATTTACCTTTGTGTAGTATACTTTTGGAGTTACTCCACACTTGACCTTCTTGGTATTTAATTTCAAGCTTCAGTTTTAATGAACGTTTAACCTTCCTTTCAAAGATAAAAGACGACAGACGTACAAAAGATTTGGGATTTGCTTGTATTGTTGAAAAGCGTTTTCTTTTGCACAATACGCTTTAAATTAAAAGAAATGCCCATAATTCTATGGCCGAAAAGTTTTAGGCTTTATGCTGGAACGCATTAATTAATTTCAGCTCTACAGTTAACCGCACACTCAACATTTTTTTACACAGCAAATATAAAATATTTTCGGTCGCCCGCAATCCCTTTCAACCCTTGATTTGGCTTTAAGCGGCTCTCTGATTGTATGAAGTCATAGCAGTCATTTTCACACTACACCACCAACATTTCTAAATAAACTGCAGGAACAAAACAATTAAATTGTTATCCCGCAAAACCTTGTATCTCGAGGCTGATCCGCGGTCGAGAATGTGTTTTGCTGGAAATAAGCACACAAAGGAAAGGTTTGTATAAGACAAATGGCTCTATTGAATAATTTCCTGTCACCGTACCTTGAATGTGATAAACACAAGAAAGGGTGGACCAGCGTTACAAGCATCATTTCATATAATATAAACACGAGTTGAGGGTTTCAGAATATATTGGATAGTTCAGACATTACAAAGGTACGTATAGGCTTTGAATATAAGGTATCGGTATAATTTCGGCAATGGATCGCCGCATTTTTGTTGTTGTTGTTTAATTTTGTTTATACTGACAATAACGTATGTACCTACCTACCTCCGGTTAAAAAATCTGCATATTTTCGATAGGAATGTTCATTGCTTCCATTTTTTCTTTTCATTACTGCTCTTATTGTTCTTGTGCCACTAACTTTAATCGTTGAGTGAGAGGTTTGGACACTCGCCAGTTTAAATGAATTATAATTCCTTCATTCTATTTCAAAATTCGTTGAAACTTTGATATTTTGTATTTAAATCAGGAATTTCATATTTTCCAACAAAGACATTTTGAAATGAAAACGTTTGTTAACGGTAAATACGTAGGTTTTCAGGTTATATTATTTAAATTTCTAAAATGTGCACATCTAAGGTTTGCAATTATGCATTGAAGAGTTGGAAAATTTAGGCTCAGTGTATCATACTACTAGTCCGGCAGCCAAACCACTATTTTTTGCTTAGGTGGTAAATTACGTATTAAGTTTTTTTGACTTCACAATATGTTTTGGTACATGTTTGGCTGTAAGGAAATGCATGATGAGATTTCGTAATCTTTGGGCCATTGATGATATATTGCGTTATATCGAGCACGCGCTGAGCGGGCCGAATGTTCGCACGTAAAGCATCGTCAGATTTATCTCAGGTATTTCGAAGCTCCAAATTTAAAATTGGTATCAATGTGCCTCAAATTGGCCAAAGCTCAATGCCGGATGATCATTTGGTATCTATATAATAGTGATGTGTGTTTATTGTCCAGGTAAGTGTTTTAACATGTGTTATGTTAATAACACGAAATATGCACAACACATGAAGCAGAATTCTTTATTTATCATTTTGTTTGTTACAGATGTTGCACTACAGTACGACATTTTGAGTAGAATAGTTATTTGTTTCATTAGTACAAAAAATGTCAGTTTTCGGGAAGGAACCTTCCGAGTCCCGAAAACGCATTTTTTGTACGAATAAAACATAAAATTTTTTCTCCAACCCTCTTTACTTTAAATTATATTCGAGTTTAGATTCAGTTCACAATTTCACTACTAGTTTGAGAACTTCTGCTTTCTTGTCCTCACGTGTCATGTCACTCTAGTTTTTAGGTTAACTTATAACCTATTCGTTCTTACTTCTCACCTCTCGCGACTTTGTAGGGAGCAAATCTAAAGTAGCATGTTCTGCCGTTTCTATAATTTCTGGCGGAGTGCAATAATCCATGTCGCTATCAGTTTCAGTCATTTCTATTGTAGGCATACAAAATTAACATTGTTATATTTTGTATTGAAATAAAAAAAACTTACCATACAGTTTTTTAATTAAAATTAATTGCAATTAACTTTTTCAAATTTTGAATTCAAAATGACAGATAATAGTGCAATGGGTCTGAAGTAGATGGCGTTACGCGCGACGGCGGGTTGTATACGTATTAAAATTACGTTCATCGAATATGTAAATGACGTTACACATGGTTTAA